GACCGGCACAATGCCATTTTGTCCACAACAAATCCCATATGACCTGACCTGGGCTCGAATACGGGGCGCCGCGGTGGGAAGCCGGCCTCTCTCCACTCACACACTACACTTTAGCCCATGATGTAACAGTATGCTTAAGGCGGCCTCCGTAGTCTAGAGGTAACGTTCCCACCTCATGACTCGTAGTACGCGGGCTCAAATACCCGGCGGAGGTCGTCGAATTTTTAAGGGCGGAAAAATTCGGGGAACAAGTCCTCAGGGAGGAACTTTAAGCCGTGGGTCCCGTGTCGTAGCTTTACGGCACGTAAAAGAACCTCATATCTCCAAAGCTGGTCACTGAGCCAAATTACGGACGTTTCCCGCCCAACAGCAGTCTCTAATACCTCTGGTAGATGGGGGAAGCATTATAGATACCTCTCAGCTAGTAGAGCCGGTCTCGCTGGCTGGGTGGGACTGATGGTAAGCACCAATACCGGTAGGATATAGAGACTGGTAGAATATCATAGAGGGAAGCACAATAGATCAAACTGGTCGCGGTGCATGGGGAAACCCACCCTCTTTAAATAACTAACTGACTAACAGTATGCTTAAATACAGTGCTAAAACTACCAAACCGACTGACTCCATGGAGCGATGCCCTTGAGAAGGCGAAACATGCTGAGCCCATTTTCTGATTACCTGGAACAGAATGTACTTTGTGTGTAATGTTCTCTATTGTTCCATGCAGAACGATATTACAGAACAAGTTTTTCTAGAGATAACACCCTAGACTTTTAATCGGAAGGTGCTTGGTTCGAATCTCAGCCGTGATACTATCTCTGTTGCGCTTTCCATAGTTCACTTTTATCACCACAGATGAATGGCGGTATAGTACATGGAGTAGCCCACGACCGCTTCCTTGCTTCAATCCCAACATCTAGAAAACGTCGTTAGAAAAGTGACGCAGTACTGTTTCGTATGGAACAGAACTTACCCCGTTTTTACTTCAATTCGTGAAGTTCTTAACACGAAAGAATGCTAAATTAGATCGCACACTGTTTTACTTCAACATGTGAAGTGCTTTACATAAGCGAATAGGAAGAGGAAACTTCAACCGTTGTCACGTGACTGTATTAAATAGCTAAACACACAGCGCGTGCCTTCCAGTCTTTATCTTTCAATTTATAGTTATTAAAACGTGTGATTTGACGTCAGAATTCTTGCGTCGGGGAGCAGTAGTGTTGGGCTAGGCTTATCTGAGTTACCCAGGTGTGTGAAGTAAGCCCCGAGCTATTTGACTTAACTTTTTTACTCCGCTGAAAATTTTCCCTCTCCGTTCCACTGCATCCCACACACTATTAGCTAATCGCAGTTTTTCCTCTCTCTTTCACTGCCTCTCTTCCACCCATCGTTCATCCCATATCTGTACATGAACCAAAAGCAACAGCAACAACACACAAATGAAATAATAAACAGAAAACAAAACTGAACAGTCGAGGAGTCGGAGTTCGAGTCCCGGTAGGGGCAAGAATTTCCTCTTGTCCATGTCATCTAGACGGGCTCTGGGGTCCACCCAACCTCCTATCCAATTGGTACCGGGGGCTCTTTCCCAGGGGTAAAGCGACCGGAGCGTGAAGCTGACTGCTCACCTGCAATTAGTACCGAGACCAAGAAGACGTGGATCTATACGTCTGTTCCCCATACGCATTCATGGCGTAGTACTTAATTAGTTAAGCAGGGGGACAGCTTTACCTAAGTTTTCAGCAAACCAGTCTTTCATAATTAGTTCTGTAATGGCGGAACGCTCTATTTTATAAATTTATATTTCTCCATATTAACATTATTTCTGAAAAGAAGTTTAATATTACTACTTCAGCGGAAGGAAATTTTTATTTTATGATATGTTTCGAGTTGTACCTGATTTATTAGTGGCAGGATAGCTTAGTCGGCACAAGGATGGGCACAGAGCTGGACGGTCGAAGAATCGGAGTTCGATCCCCGGCAGAAGCAAAAAATCTTTCTTTTCACCACAGGGTTCAGACGGGCTCTGGGGCTCACCCTGCCTCCTATCTAAAATATGCTGGAAGCAAAGCGACGAGGGAGTGAAGCTGACCACTGACCTCCATCCGGTGCCGAGTTTATTAAGAACGAGTGAAACTTCAAAAAAAATAAAAACGAACACCGTGGTATGTAGTCCACAAACGAACTATACCGACCGAGTGACCGCCGCTTGTCGGCGAAGTTAGTGCCAACTTTTGCGGATAGAGGGTGTCAAGTGGTCAGCGGAACGGATGCCCAGGTCCGTTAATTTCAGTGTTCTAGACCTGAGCCATTATCTCCTTGAAATAGCTCCTCAATTATCCTCACGTGACTGAGTAGACTCCGTTCCAGACCCATTATTTCTCAAAAAATCTGAACGAACCCGGGACCTCTGGATCTGTAGCCAGGAACTCTGACCACTAGACCACAGAGACGGTCGTGAAACATCTGAGAAAGTACGTCACAACTCTAGTAGACAAACTAACGGGAGAGAAATCATGTGTGCTCACTCCGTTAGGGCGATATTGGTTCCTATTGTGTCAATAAAATAGACTAAATTAAATTTCTAATGATGACGTAACGACTTACGTCACTATCTGATGATGGCGAATGCTCAGAAATATTTTAGACACAATAATATTCGTTGATGAGTTTTGCTGTGTAATGTCCTTCATCTGCGTGTTTATTCCTCTCACTAGCCTTCAGATATTCTCCTCAGCGCTCCATCGCCTATCGCTAGACGCTCTAAATGCCTTCTCTTACCTGTAATTTCCACCGTATCGGCCTTTTCTAAAGAATCCTTCTCCCGGTAGCTGCTGCCGCCACTGGGCTATTAGCGCAATCTCCATCCTCATTACAAGGCATGCAACTTCTTCTAGACCAGACACCTGAGCCCCTCCTACATTGTAACGTATGGGTATTGCTTTTACCCTTGACCCTTTCTTCCGTGGACAGTACTGGACCTGATATGTAACCTTAACGCAGGCTAGTCTAAGTATCATAACAATTTCCATATGGAATTTGTGACTAGAAATTAGTGTAGACATTAATGGTCTTGCAGGAGAAAGCCTGTCTTTCCTTCCTATGAAATGGTAAAGAGGAGGGCATTGTTGTGAATAATTGAAGAATATGTTGTGGCGTGCCCCCGAAAAGTCAGGCGATAAGACGTCCACTGACAGGCAACGGCTGCGATAAGGTTGTATACTTTGGTGGAAACGCAGTACCAGCAGACCGTTCCATAGGAATCGCCAAACAGCACATGCCTTTCCCCGGAAATGGAAGGAGACCCAAGGAAACGAATACTACCAGCGGATAAAACGGAACCCATAAACATGGTGCGCTCTATTCAGTCCGAGTGTACGTTATGGAAGTGTAGCTCCGACTAGAGAAGCCAGCTCGCATCCGGCAAAGGGCAGAAGACACTTCACCGAGATCAGCGGTGTAAGTAACTGTGATAGTGAAGTTGTGAATAATTGAAAGTGTGCGTGTAAAGGGATTGTCTAAGCCAATCTTAGCCAATTCCGAGACCCGCTTGAATTTACTTGTCGCGTCACATAGACAACACGCGACAATATTAAAACGCAATAGAAATATTATGTTTCTGGACATTATCCATCGTCCTCTTTTTTGTTTCTTTAGGTTTAGGCCCATATTAATTACGTAATAAGATATGAAATTTGTGAAGATTGTACAGTGACACAAATATTACGCTGTATACAGTACAGCAGTAGTAGCAATACGCCGTGTCCTCATACGAGCTGCAAAGTCCATTAATGTTGACGGTGGAATTTTGGAAAATGTATTATACTAGGACCACCTCTGTGGTCTAGTGGTGTGCGTTCCTGGCCACAGATCCAGAGGTCCGGGTTCGATTCCCAATGCTACCAGATTTTTTCTGAGAAGTAGTGAGTCTGAAATGGGGTCCACTCAGCCTCGTGATGATAATTGAGGAGCTATTTCACGGAAACAGCGGCTCCGGTCTAGAAAACCGAAATTAACGGCTGTGGGCATTCGTTGCGCTGACCACGCGGCACCCTCTATCCACAAAAGTTGGCATTAATCTTCGCCGACAAGCGGCGGTCCTCGGTTGGTATAGTTCGCTTGCAGACTAAAATCACGAAGTTTTTATTATGCTAGGTAAACTGTACCAACTTTGTCACCTGAACAATAAACACCGTCATTAGAAACAGTACGTAATGTCTCTTTCTTATCAACAGTTTTGGAACTGTACAGTGAAATAGCTGTATCTCGGAAACCGTTCGGAATAGGACACAGTTACATATATAATTTCTTGCTTAGAATGACCGATATTATGACCTCCGAGAATAGCGGCCTCTCTCTTGGGACACTCTGTATATTCTGTATAACTCGCCAGTGCATCCAATCGGTTTACATGGAAAATTTACGCTAAGCACACGGCACAATAATTGTAAATAAAACGCGTACCTGAAGATGGCTATGTCGTCCTCCACAGCAAGCTCCACCTGCTGGAAATCGTGTTGTGGTAGCAGGAATATGATTAATATTATCTATGCTGAGAATGCAGACTTCACAATTCAGGTACCAATAAGAAGAAAATAATTGAAATCTTGTAATTTGGACGTGAGATAAGTAATTTGAGTTTGAGGTCCTGAGAGCAGTGACTATGCTGGTTGTAACGCCACTTACTTCGAATTAGCATATTTCCTCCATCTTCAAGGTCGTAAAAAAAGCCAAACAAGGGAGCAGTGCGAAGCAAGCAACATGCCCACTCGCTGTGCTTGTTGTTTACTTGACATTTTCCACCCTGAATATGGAAGCAGTACGTTCATCCGAAACAGACTACTCTGCGTCACAGCACAAGATGGCTGTATTCATCTTTGCAGATTTCTTTGAAAGACCGAACTGTAACAGATCTTCTAAGATATGTTTATGTAGATAAGCGCCTCGTTTAGAAATGATTTACTTTCTCCTTAATGAAGATTGGTTTCTGTTATTTACAGGGCCATGACCGGAGCGGAAGCCATTGAGCCGCTAGCAACCACCTGCTGCTTACCTGCCTCCTGGGTGGAGGAGGCGGCGCGGCTTCAGGTAATGCGGTCTGACCATTACAATATTTTAACTTAGCAAGTAGCTCAGAAGTAGGAGCCATTACTGCAAGCTGTGGCCCTCAGCTTTCCCAGCTCTTTTAATGCCATGTTTATGGATGGATCAGGGTTTGTAATGTAGTCTGATGAGCTTGAGAAATATCCTGTCAGAATTGGTTCATGAACAGAAATTTATAGTATTTTATTTACACATTCTGTGTCTAGAACATATTTTAGATTGCATTACCATCGGATAGTAATCTCGACCATCGCCCCATCGTCAGAAAGTTACAGCACACGGCGTCAGCCCACTCACCGTGCCGGAGATATCGTTGTACACATTGGATTTTTGTTCGATACGGTTTCTTACTGCTGTTGTGACGTATCCTCACATTTGTTCTGGACAGAGTGTACTCAGTCAGTCAGTCAGTCAATCAGCCATTCGAGTGTCTGACTGGACGAACAGTAAATGTATTAACGAATTGGTTGGGCCTCTCGACCGTTTGTCCCTGTCTGTGGCCCCAGTGATGTGGCCAGCATACGTCAGGGACGAAGGAAATTCCTGGGGAAGAAGACGACGTGTACAGATGGCCTTCATATCTTCTTGTTTTCCCAGACTCTTGTCTCTCTAGCCATCTCAGCAGCTTCTAATGCAGGAGTTAGGGATGTCAGAACTATACATCCATACCGCCCTTCACCTCCATGGCTTCGTCCTTAATTAATTAAACTTAAGAGTAATTTTACTTTTTTTTTACCTAGACTCTACTTGTGTTATAATTAGAATGATCAAGTCAAGGAGGATGAGGTGGGCAGGGTATGTAACACGAATGGGAGAAGAAGAATGCGTATAGGATAATGGTGGGAAAGCCAGAAGGAAAGAGACCACCGGGAATACCAAGACCTATGTTGTTGGACAATATTAAAATGGACCTTAGAGAGGTAAGATAGGATGGTATGAATTTGATTTATCTGGCTCAGGATAGGGACCAGTGGAGGGCTCTTGTGAACACGGTAATGAACCTTCGGGTTCCATAAAATGCTGGGAAATTCTTGAGTAGCTGCAGAATTGGCGGCTCCTCCAGAAGGGCTCAGCTCCATGAGTGAGTAAGTAAGAGGCTACTTGTGGCTAAGTCAGTATAAATTCATCACTATATTGTGTCAAAAATATCTTTACGGCTTCCTATTCTTTAATATCCTGAGCGAGGAGTTTCGTGATTTTGCTCAGTCCCCGCAGACACACGCCACAAATAGCATCTCGACTGGGTGACAGCCACTTCATTAATCATCCAACCACTGGAAGCTATGTAGTCTAGCTACTGACAATGTTCACACTCTTTATGGAATGATATAAATTAAGATATTTTTTATTGCTAGTGGGGTGGGACTAAGTCCCTTGTACTGCGGCCACTTCTGGCCTATTGTACCAGCCCCAGATGATAGGTGAGGGTGACTGTGGAGCAATTGGTGGAATGAAGATCGGCAGGGGAAACCGAAGTACTCGGAGAAAACTTGCCCCAGCGCCACTTTGTCCACCACAGATCCCACTTGACCAGACCCGGGATCGAACCCGGGCCATCGCGGTGGGAAGCCAGCGACTAACCGCTTGAGCTACGGCGCGGCCTAAATTAAGATAACTTGAAGTTAATCAACGTAATGAGTTAGGTGAGATGTGCATAAAGAGTTACATGTTTCTGTGATCCCGGTTTTAGCGTGTAAATCGTTGCACCATTGACCAGCCCGTACGTGTGATCTGCTGAGTTCAGTCGAACTATGTAACACGTTTCAGCAATATATACATAGCGCTAGCAAATGTGTATGTGTGTGGGTGGGAGTCCCGGGGCTGCCGAGCAGTCATTTATAAACGTCCCGGACAGCAGACAGGCTCGTCTCATCTGTTACAACGCTACAACTTCACTCAATATCGCTCCCCCTTCAAGACATATAGTTGTAGTCCCCAAGATGGTTCCACTTCACATTTCTCTCTATGTATTGTTTCATATTTTAAAGAAATGTATTTAGAGGAAAGATATAAATAGGAAAATCAGTAGAACATAATGTAGAGGAAAGGCGTGTCTGCGCTATGGACATTTTCACAGGAAACAATTTCACAGATTACCACGATAAGCGTTAGAATGGGGTCCAGTAGGGACTAGAGATGCAACACGCTTCAACGCGTTTGTAATGACGAAACAAATGAAAGCTTGAAAAAAAAACAGTCTTCTGGGATGTGACACCTTGTATATGTGGTGTTAACCGACGTTTCGGAGGAACGTATCGCCTCCATCTTCAGGGTAGAAGGAAAAATAAGAAAATCCGCAAGCGAAGAGACCGTCAGAACCGGTAACGTCGGTTAACACCACATATACACGGTGCCAAATCCCAGAAGACTGCTTTCTTCATAGTCACCGCCGTGAAAGCCTCAAATCTTACAGAGATGCAAGGTGTTTTCTGTGGGACAGGAATTGAATNAGCTTGTCTCAGAAAATTAGCTGAAAATCGCAAAGGATGGAATCTTGAGGCAAGAAATATCTAAAATTATCTCACCGCTATCTGTGAGGCGATTATCTAGAGAACATTTGGGAGCCTCGACGTTCCATAACCCTATGGGCCTTCACGGTCTGATACAGGGATAGCTTTACCTTTTACCATGACATGGTTGAGAATGGAATGATAGGACAATATTAAAAATATCTTTCGGAAATAGGTTTTAAGGAAGTGAATAAATTGTGTTGTGTGAGGGTAATTCCGATCCGATGTGAGGCACTGTTACTAGTAATATTGAAGTTTTAAATATGTCATATATTAACAGAGAGATGACGTAGCTGCTGAGTTGCGATATTGTAACGATCGATGTTTTTGAAACAGTTAGTGAAGGCGTTTTAATTAACGTCTAACACATACCACATCCATCTTCCTCTATTGAATTCACGAATATTGCACTCATTTCGTTTTGTAAGTACTTCCTCTCCTGTATTTAATTCAATACATGACCAATCTTGCTGAGAAGCGCATCCTTCACAATGGAAAGTAGTGAAGAGACCGGATTACTTCGAGGATTGCCAACTTAATAGAAAATGTTATAATTTTTTACTTTCTCATGTACGTAATATGAGAACTTATTGTAATTATGAAGAAATCTATCTGGAAATTTTGATGGATTTGCGCGTTTTCAGCGTCCCTGAATACGAAATAAAAAAATGCCTTTAGTATGAAGTTTGTATTTATGCGATGACCGCGAGATAGGCTTATATGCCAGAGACGTTTCTAGGCGACGGCTCGGTAAACACGTTCCAGCAGCAACGAATCGACACGCAACAATAGAAGTACTTTTAGAAACAGAGTGTTTCTCCGTGGTCTGTGCTGAGAACTTATCTTGAATACAGCTGGGGCGACCCGTGTGGAGTAGGGGTCCAATACCTCCACCGTAGCCCTGCGAGTCGTAGAAATCGACGAAAAGGGAACCCAGTCCCTGGGCGTATAACTGGACCACCCTGTTCCTGGGGATACAAATACGGGGACCTGGCCCTCCAGTTTGGGGGATTCTCAAATCTGAGAGAGTAAAATGTGGTCATGAGTCCTGAGCGACTCGGACCTCAGAATGACTGCGCTGGCGAGGTCCCAGCAGCAATTGTAAACGACAGAACAATCCTATCGTCAGAGAGGATGTTACATAAAGAACTATAACTGCAGACGTTCAGTGGAAAATAAAATTACTGGTCGTGAGTCTCTTATGAGAGAACTTATGAGAATGAAACTGAAGAATCTTAAACGTTAGAAGCCGTTTTCAGGGAACGGGTGGCGAAGACCCAGCATGTTGGAAGAGACTTAGTGGGTGCTGTGGTGATTTGTGAATTGTGGAGATTAGCACTGACGGTGTAGTTGCTTGTAGTTCCGAGTCGAGTGTATAAGTGTTCAAGAGATCCATTCACCAATCCAAACCCCTTCTATAGTCACAGTAGTTTATGTATGCATGTATGTATGTATGACTCACTATCCCCTGAAAGATTATAAGAACATTATTTATGTTTGTATAAATCAGATGCATTGTTCTAGTTGGTTTGTTCCTTGGCTTACTTTTCTTCCCTGATGTTGAGAGCAATATATTCCTCCGAAACGTCGGGATTTGAAACTACACGGTATCAGAACGAATAAGATTCTACTGTTCATAGTCACTGCTGTGAGAATCTCATGTCCAACAACAGATTTGTCAAGATTGAAAACCTTGTGATATCTATCTGCTGTATACATGAAAGCTCCGTGGCTTTTAGTCCACAAGCGAACTATACTGACTGAGAAACCGCCGCTTGTCGGCGAAGTTAGTGCCAATTTTTGCGGGTAGTGGGTGTCACGTGGTCGGCGCAACGGATTCCCACGGCCGTTAATCTCGGTTTTCTAGACCGGAGCCGCTATTTCCTTGAAATAGCTCCTCAGTTATCCTCACGAGGCTGTGGACCCCGTTCCAGAACCACTACTTCACAGAAAATCTGGTAGCGCCTGGAATCGAACCCAGGACCTCTGGATCTGTAGCCAGGAACTCTGACCACTAGACCGCAGAGGCTAGACACTGACGAAACGTATTGCAGGAGAATGCCTCATCCTGCCCTTCAGAAGAAGAAGGACCGTTAAGATGGCGTCTTGTTCCTCCCATAGGTTAGTAATTGTTTACCGGCGGTGAAGTCACGATAGCTCAGTCGGTATAGCGACGGGCTAAGGGCTGAACGGTCCGCGTTCAATTGACGGCAGGGACAAAATTTTTCTGTGGGTTCCACCCAGGCTCCTATCCAATGGGTACCGGGGGTTATTTCCCCAAGGTAAAACGGCCGGGGCGTGAAGCTGAACACTCACCTCCACCTAGTACCAAGGTCAAGAATTGTGGAGCTAGACCTTCACTCCCACATACGTCTTCATGGCATGATGCTTGGTTAATTTAGGACTGGAACTATTTTACCTTGACTAAGCAACATGACATTAAATGTCAGATAACGTGCCTTCAGATATAGGCAT